TAGTTAGTATGGAAAGTCAACCAACTGATGATTACATTAAATAGTTGGTAAGTATTATCAATACTTTAAAATATTTTATCTTTGTGACTTCTAATTTATATTTCACTTTTATGTAGACTTGAAGGTTTGAAACAAATGAATTATTGATATGAATATCGAAGTTTTATTAGTAATATTTACTTTTTGGTATTTGTATTTGACAACTTATTATTTATATGTTATTAAATTAAATTACGTTAATTTGTAAAAGTTAAGATTGAACTTAGTATTTGTATCTACTTTTTGTTATTAATATTGATATCCACTTTCAGGTGTATTTATGTAGTATTATTTTAAATGTTAAAAAATTTAACTATAGTAAGGAACTGAACGGAACCGAATAGAACCAAATCGAAACCGAACGGTTCCAAAATTATATTTGGAACCGACGATTCCATTTACTAAATACCCGAAAATTTCTGGAACCGAACCGCGCCCACCCCTATGTAGCGTGGGGGAGGATGGTTGTGGTGGATTTGTGAGAAAATGATCCGCAAGTGTGTCGGGTTGGGGAGGATGGTTGTTGTCACTTGGGGTTGGGTGGATGAAGTGGGGTGCAATGGGGAAGAAGATTGTTTTTTATTTTCTTATTAATGTAATGCTAAATTGATCAAATTAAGTCATTTGTTTGACTTTTAATCAATTGACAATTTTTTTTCTTTAAATATCTTCTGGCCACACATATGCGCTACAATTTAAAGGTCTAAAACTTCACGGCACGTTTTTCAAAGACTTGAAATTTCTAATGCAAATTTCATGCACCATTGTTCGGCTTTTTCTTTTCTTTGATGAACTCCTACGTAATTGTCGTGGATTTCTTTCCTCGTTTCAAACGAGAGAGAACCAAGTCGAAACTCAGTTTTAAAATATTCAACCGAGATTGAACTGCATAGTTATCAGTGTCAATAACTTGAAAAGCATTTCTTGACTTGCTCTGTTATTTCACACAATCAAACCAACCCAGATTAATTATAAATGGGCAAAACACTTGTTTAATCACCGTCACAGTCATCCCTAACTACTATTGTGTATAATCAGGAGACAGACTCATCGCCATACACAGAAACACACATATACTTAGTGGTCGAATATCAAACATATGTTAATTTTCCCCGATATTCAAACATAAATGTAACACACAAATGATTTATAGAGACCGACTGTAGAGACATTTACTACACACACGACACATAATTTTGTGAGCCCCAATGTCTGACAAACCATATATTGATTACAGAATTGCTTCTTCATATAGGTCTATTGAGCACAACCAAAGGTTTTCTCACTGCTGTAACACATGTAAAGGAACCCATCTTCGTCCTTGGATGAATCGTACATAGTCTCCATCAAACTTGCTGCAGAAAACAGAATTGTGTGTTAGTAGACTACATCTCATAAAAGTAATCTACTTTAAGAAATATGTTGGATATTTTACATGTTTGAGGTAAGGTATTATTCACAAATACAAATAGAGCTTTCCCCGGAGCCAGATGAAGCCTGCCACTCAGGACGTAAATGAATTGCCCAACAGACATGTCTCGGGGTACTAGATACCTGTTGCCAAAGAAAATGCTAATAACATTATAAGATGTTGAGCACCATATCTCAATTTATGGATGAGTTTGATCTTAATCACTAACTTAGTGCCCTATTCTTCAAATTTAAACTATAAGAAGGGGTAATTTAGTAGAATATCGGAATCAAAATCTGTAAAGTTGATGAAGAATTAGGATGGATTTTAGTATAGTTTCCATTTCTAAAGTTTATTTTTCCTTTAGTAAACATAATTAGTGATTTATTTAGAGTATTTTCTTACTTCAATTAGAATTAGTTCAAACCCTATATAACGGGTCTATTATGCAATGTAATTGGAGATAACTTTGAACATAAGAATATTGATATATTTCTTCTCCAATTTCTCTCTATTATCCCCCTCTTCTCTCTTTTCCCCCTCCTTTCTCTTCCTCTATTCCCTTTCCCCTTCTCTTATAATTGTTCTTGTTGGATCCTGCATCAAAAGTTATCCCAAGGAATAAAAATCCAGATGGTATGTGACGGGTATTTTTAAAAGGAGATGGTGTGATAAAAAGCGAATCAAATAAAGATAGACACCTTGCACATAGACAGAGTTCTGTAGAAGAGCCTACCAATTTAACACAAGTAAAAAAAAATTGAGGAATTCACACAAAAATTATACAATAAGTAAAGGAATATATACCTAATGCCATAGGCCACCTTACTAGCTTGAAACTAACATTGGATCAAATCAATGCTCTTGAATTTAAACAAAGAACTCATGTAGACAGTTAGAAAGCAGTTTCATAAAGCAGCAGGATTGAGAACAATATCACGAGTACTAGAAACCTCTGTATTAGTGACTACTCCGACTTTATTCCAATATACTCATAGTAGAAAAATGCCGAGGATGCTGTAACGACCCAACCTCGCGCCGGAGCCTTCATTATATCGTACGTACTATCCGGTTTAGGAGGGCCCAAACCCATCTTACTACCACTTACGGATTTCTGACGTGTTCCCCAAGATTTGAACACAATACCTCCATCATATGGGAGACTTAAGCTAAATCCTGGTACCAATTGGGCAAGTAGTGGAATCACAACTTTTATCGAGTTTTCGGTTACATATTTCATCAGTCGAACATACTAACATGAATGTCATAACAAACTGTTGAATCGATTAACGAAAATGAATTACCGAGTTTTAATTTGATTTTTGTTATTTAGACACTAATTCGAACGTGTTTTTCTTTATTTTAGTTTCCTTCGGATTTATCTAGTTCGGGATCATCCCTACAAATTCAAAGTTGGCATAAGAATGGTTGTCTTAATATATGGACTATCTGAATGTTCTTCCTAATTTACCTTTTTTTATCAAACAATTCCATGCAAAACTCATTCAACACTCTCTTCACCACCAACACTACTGGGTGCATAAGAGAGACTTAAATTAAATTTTGGGTGTTGTGTTCATAGTTGAGGTGAAGATGTTGGATTTGTTGTGATGATGGAATTGGAGGCGGATCGAGTCTTGTGACAGCATGATGTCCTAAAGCAAAATTGTCCGTCGATAACTGCTGCGACCACTGTGAAGAATCACCTCCAAGCTTTAGAATAATTTGGTCCGGATTTCCATCAACTTTAATAAACTTCAACTTTGGATATAGGTGGATGTGGTGTTACCCTTAGTGATAGGATTTCTTTGGGTGACATTGGACATCTAAGAAAAATAATGGGTTTCTCACCACTTGAATATAAAGTGCTTTAGTAGATAGTATTTTTAAGAGAATGTGTGTTTAAAATATAGGAAATTTTTTTGAATTTATATCTTTTCTATGAGTTTTGTAAACATCTCCTCCAACTGAGGTTTCTTCTCCTGTTGGAACTGCCCTTGAGCTCGGTAGTTGTCCAATTGGTACCAGGATTTAACTTAAGTCTCTCATATGATGGAAGTCGTGGGTTCGAATCCTGAGGGACGCGTCAGAAATCCGTGAGGGGTACGATGGGTCTGGGCCCTCCCAAAACGGACATTACGTACAATATGACAACGGCTTCGACGCGAGGTCGGGTCATTACAGATGCTGCAGCAATATGATTCTATTAAACTAAAGAACACCTTTAAGTAAGTTGTCGCCGTGGAACTAGCATTTTTTTCGTTCACAAAGATCCACATGTCTTGCATAACTAATATTAACGGGGCACGATTATGGAGACAAAAACAATTAAAACACTAGGAATGCAATAACTTACTTTTTCTTCTCCATCTCAGGAAGGTCAGTTTTTGAATACCTCTCAACCACCACCTGCAATAAACTCTACAATGGTAATGGTTGCACAATTCTTAAGAGTAATATCACAAGGTTAAAATAGATGGTATTTAAAGAATTTGTCCAATCCAATGTATTTTACTCCATTTTTCGATAGCTGTTAAGCATCTATCAAATGTACAAAGAGCAATCCTAATTACTAACGGTTACACCTATAAATTACGTGGCATTTTCATACGAAGGGCATCCCACATATGCAAACGCATCGACCATTGGGCCTATTTAATTAAACAATTGCATCTTGGGCTTGAATTTGGATTTTGGACTATTTCACTAAACCTACTTGGCTCATTTCATTTTTCTATATATCTGTGATATATTTCTCAATCAAGGTAAGTAATCATAACCCTAGCCAAACACTTTCTTCCGTCTCTTGCACTCATTCTTTTCTCGTCCGACCGTTGACTTGACCGTTCAAAGAACAAGCAGTAATGTGTAGGTGAAGTCTAAGTGAAGAAGAGGCGGCCGAAATTTTGTTGACGGATTTTTTGAAGTCAACACTAACTTCCACATTGTTTAAAACATTATAACCTGAGCATTTGAAACATACATATAAAACATAGATGATCATTAGCTACTATGTCCTTGATTAAAGAGACTATTAGCACTTTTTTGGTCCACAATATTTTCAAAATACATATTTCTCTCTCTTATTTTCAATCATACATTTTTCAATAAAATAATATAATTAATAGTACACGCAAACTTAAAACTTTTCCTTATTTTTGAACCACGCATTCTCCGTCAAAATACTATTCAAAATGCACTTTCGCAAAAAAATGGCTCAAACAAGCTCAAAGTTTTCTTTACACCATTTGGAGCTCAAGATGAAAAATTTGGGATAACCGTGAAAAAATTAAAAAAAAAAAAATTTTGTGCACTTCAATCTCAATATAAAACAAAAGAATTTCAATTTTCCCAAATTTTGAGAAACGTCGATTGGTCCTCTTGGCATCATCTTCCATTTACTCTATTACTTTTCCTTTTCCTCCAAAGAGCGATTCGAGTAATTAAAGAAAATAAGCAATTTCAACATTCCATAAATAGTTAGGAACAGGAATTCAAGATATTAAATCAAAGTTCACAAAAAATTGGAGACTATTTCTTACACAATTCAGTTTGTTCATCTCCAAGAACAATCATTTCCATATAAATCAGACCTTAGAACCAATAACCATATGGAAAAAAAACTTACGGGTACACGATCAGGATATTTGGCAATGATTTCCTTTGATTCTTCGAGCCTTTCCTCTGCATTATAAAATAATAATTATTTTTTCTGCAATTTTGATTAACAGAACAAAAAAAACTAAAATGAAAAAAAGGGAAGAAATTGTAGAAACCGAAAGAGAATTGTTCTTTAAATGGCTGAGTCTTGGTCCCTCCCATAATTGCCAGATCAAAATTTGCAATCCGCAAGAGAGAGAGTCGTAGAAGAATGTAGAAGATTGATTGAAATTGGAATTTTCTTGTTAAATAAAGCAAAGAAAGACACATGTGATGTACGAAACTACTGTAAGCTACATCTATATATAAATATAATCAAACGTCGACTTATCGTCAAGCGGGGACAGCTCAGTTGGTAGAGCGTCAGCCTGAAGATCTGAAGGTCGCGTGTTCGATCCACACTGTCCGAATTTTCTTTACTCGTTTTGCCCTTTTCTCTATTATTAATTTTGAAGGAAGACGGCAGCAGAATCCCAAGTTTTCAAAACGTACAATGTGGTCCTACAGCTTTTCAAGAAGTACAGTTAGATAGTAACCTTCAAAGCCCTTTAGTATTTTTGTTTAAAACACAATAGTTCATATTTTAGGGAAATAAGGGTGCATTTGATTGTAAGGGTGAAAAATGGGTGGAAAAAAATACTTTATAGGGAAAAGATTTGCGTAGAAAATATTTTGTAGGGAAAATGATTTCAAGTGTGTTTGATTGGTATAATTTTTCACCCGGAAAAAATTTGAAATTTTGGATTTTTTTTTTTTCTCGTTTGGCTTTACTTTACATGGAAATTATCTATTAAAATGAAATTTTTTTTTTACAATTGGTTATGAAATTTGTTAACATTGCCAAAAAGTTAACAAATTTCATAACCAA